ATTAGACAGTTTTCACATACTAGTAATATGCCTGGTGTTGAAAAAAATCTAGTTTGTTCCTCTTACCCCATCGTCGGAAACCCATGGCCAATTACGCTTCGTTCCTCTCTCGGAATGAAGTGTAATCAGCAGTGGGTTTCCAACGATGCTCTTAGTCTTACCAAATTTTTTTTTTTTATCAGTTTGGAATCTTGAAACCAGCCTTGAATTATTCATTTAACTAGATACATCAAATACAAGACCATTTAAGTGATACATGTACCTCTATGCTTTCTGGTTTAAAAAAATTTGATGGAAACATTGTCCTGCTCTCAGCTGGGAAAGCAATCTGTATGGCCCTCTCTCTCTCCCTGTGCCGGGCCTCCCTAAGAGTCCCCTCAGTGTCCCTCACTACTATTAACTTGTCCTGTCAAATAAAAAAAAAATTGTAGTCTAAAAAAGAATATATGTAAAATAATTAAGAAAGAATGAAATGTTCTGTCTACATGAAATTGATATTCTAAATTTGAAATACAGTTGAACTTTGATGTCTTGAACATCATTATCGTGAATATTACCTTGTAATACCGAAATGTGTCAGAAGTCCCAATCACATTTATTTTCTTTTTGCATTTTAACTCATTTAGTTAAAAAAAAGTTTGACTTTATCTGCACTTCTGTTTTTTTGTATTAAACAGGCCAAAAAACCCCAGAAGTCTCTGTCGAGACTGAAGCTCTACTGGTTTGTACACCCAATTTTATGTTAACGCCCCCAAAATCTACCTGATTCAAGATCAATAATTTACCGCCTGTCAATCATAAGAAAAACAATAGCTTCTGATTTGATTGACAGGTCAGCTACCTGTGCTTCCTGATAATCAGAGTTTGCATGTTTTGAAAACAATTACCTGGTCACGCGCCAAACGCTTTCATGTACCCGCATTGTATACACGCGGGTTAGAAAACTCCAATATGTTTGAATTTCATTTAAAAAAACATAATTGAAAGTACATTATTAAAACATTGACATAATAAAATATTTCTTTTTTATCTTCACTGCTGTTTGTTACTTGTAAGTGTTATATCGTCCACGTTATCTGTAGAAAAAAGACCGCGTCCACAGAAACCGGCTCTGTTTGCTGTAATTAGAAGTCCAACAATTCAAATTATCTTTTAAGAAATGGGATATAAGAAAAATATTCAGCACTAATAAATGGCATAGCATAGTTTTTAAAAGATGTTTTATTTTGTACTATGGCTATACAATCCGCATGATGTTGTACAGAAATTGATGTCAGAATTAATGCTCAAATTTCCTCGAGATCTAGCGTCTGTATATATACGTAATGAAAATGTGAAGATAGTGATCGATTCTGAAAAGAAATCTTTCTAACAATAAAATTTTGTTGGCACACAAAGAATCAAAAATATGGAATATTTTGGACAACATTTGTTGGCCATTAAAAAAAACATTCCGATCGCGGTAAATGCATGTTCACATGCACGATGAATAGGTGGATTAATAATTTTTTATTTCAATATTCAGACTTTTTTAATCAAGTGATTTCTTTTATTGAAGATTAAAAAAGGTAAATGTTATTGATTTGTAGTTTTTACTCGTGATTTTTTCTTTTATGTAAGGAAAACATTTACTAAAACGATATAATTTATCTTATTATTTGTTTTCCTTCAAAACATTACCATGATAACGATGAATGCGTTTAGTTTACAAATAAATTTCATATTAAAATAATTATTTTTACGTAGTTTCACTCAAAACCAGACACAAAAATGTAATGTTGACCCTGATTACCAAACACAGACTTCCTGTGTAATGCTACGTATACACAGATTTTTGACATCTTTGGTATTGGGGGTCTCCAGGTAAATAACACCACTGTTACTTTGACCACTCCCCCTCCACAGGTAACCGTACGGTAAAAAAAATTGGGTCTTTAAGCAGTTGAGAATTGAAACTTTACAACAGCAAGAAATAGAATAATGATCCTTGATAAGGTCTCTTTATGTTCTTAGTGTAGTCTACTTGTGTGCCAAGTTATTTAAGGAATCACTGTCTAGTTAGGAGGGTATGTCAGGGCATCAACAATAGTGGGAAACATGGGATAATTTGCATAACGGGCGATTATCCCATGTTTCCCACTATTGTTGATGTCCCTGACATACCCTCCTAACTAGACATACCCTCCTAACTAGACAGTGATTCCTTATATTTCCATTTCATTGTGAAATAAAATTGTAGATTTAGACTTTAAAAATGTAGATAAATAGATTTAAATCACATGATGACTTCCATGCCAATTTCAATAGTCCTCGCCAACCGACGTCAAACACAAAGGCAGCCGCACGAGATTTACATGCATATTTGGCCTCCTTAGCGTCAGACACAGAGACAGATGCACACGAGAATTGCCTGCGTATTAGGCCTCCTTAGCTCCCGACCTATCGACCTGCCTAATTTACATTCCGGCAGAATTATCAAGAAATAAACTACCCCTAACTTTCAGAGAGTTATCTCAGAGAAAAAAAATTAGAAATGGAAATATATTGAAATCAGACCAAAACTGTAGGAGGAGTAGCATTTTGAAACAATTTTACAGAAATTTCTATTTTTAGTAACCACAGAAACACCGTTCATCGAAATCAAAAACCGATAAAAAGAATAATGTGTCTTAGAGTAGTCTACTTTGTGCCAAGTTATATTGAAATTAGACCAAAACTGTAGGAGGAGTAGCATTTTGAAAGAATTTCACAGAAATTTCTATTTTTAGTAACAACGGCAACACCGTTCATCGAAATCAAAAATCGATAATCAGAATTATGTATCTTAGTGTAGTCTACTTGTGTGCCAAGTTATATTGAAATCAGACCAAAACTGTAGGAGGAGTAGCATTTTGAAAGAAATTTCTTTTTTAGTAACCAAGGAAACACCGTTGATCGAAATCAAAAATCGATATAAAGAATTATGTATCTTAGTGTAGTCTACTTGTGTGCCAAGTTATATTGAAATCAGACCAAAACTGTAGGAGGAGTAGCATTTTGAAAGAATGAAATTTCTATTTTAAGTAACCAAGGAAACACCATTGATCGAAATCAAAAATCGATAAATAGAATTATGTATCCTAGTGTAGTCTACTTGCGTGCCAAATTATATTGAAATCAGACCAAAACTGTAGGAGGAGTAGCATTTTGAAAGTAATTTCACAGAAATTTCTATTTTTAGTAACCACGGCAACACCGTTTATCGAAATCAAAAATCGATGTATAGAATTATGTATCTTAGTGTAGTCTACTTGTGTGCCAAGTTATATTGAAATCAGACCAAAACTGTAGGAGGAGTAGCATTTTGAAACAATTTTACAGAAATTTCTATTTTTAGTAACCATGGCAACACCGTTCATCGAAATCAAAAACCGATAAAAAGAATAATGAGTCTTAGAGTAGTCTACTTTGTGCCAAGTTATATTGAAATTAGACCAAAACTGTAGGAGGAGTTGCATTTTGAAAGAATTTCACAGAAATTTCTATTTTTAGTAACCACGGCAACACCGTTCATCGAAATCAAAAATGGATAATCAGAATTATGTATCTTAGTGTAGTCTACTTGTGTGCCAAGTTATATTGAAATCAGACCAAAACTGTAGGAGGAGTAGCATTTTGAAAGAAATTTCTATTTTTAGTAACCATGGCAACATCGTTGATCGAAATCAAAAATCGATATAAAGAATTATGTATCTTAGTGTAGTCTACTTGTGTGCCAAGTTATATTGAAATCAGACCAAAACTGTAAGAGGAGTAGCATTTTGAAAGAATGAAATTTCTATTTTTAGTAACCACGGCAACACTGTTCATTGAAATCAAAAATAGATAAATAGAATTATGTATCCTAGTGTAGTCTACTTGCGTGCCAAATTATACTGAAATTAGACCAAAACTGTAGGAGGAGTAGCATTTTGAAAGTAATTTCACAGAAATTTCTATTTTTAGTAACCATGGCAACACCGTTTATCGAAATCAAAAATCGATGTATAGAATTATGTATCTTAGTGTAGTCTACTTGCGTGCCAAGTTATATTGAAATTAGACCAAAACTGTAGGAGGAGTAGCATTTTGAAAAATTGTTTACAGACAGACAGACAGACAGCTAGACAGATGGACGGACGCATTACTATCGCAAAAGCTCTTCTGGTCTCTGACCAGTAGAGCTAAAAATAATTCAGAAGTCTTTTCAAAATTTAAAATTAATAAGTTAAAGTGCTTTGCTATCAACTGATAGACATACTGGTATCTGGAACATTGCTTTTGATCACTTGTTTACAAGGAAAATATGAATGCTATCAGTATATGCTGTCAGACCTTATTTGATTTTTCTGATCGTGTGTAGGCTGAGGTATCTATAAATAGTAAGTTATGAGTCATCACAGGAGCTATCTCTGGATTCCTGGCCAGCTCAACGTCTATTTCTTTCCTAGGATTCATAAATGGCGGCCTCTGCTCAATTTTGATCCTCTCTTTTTTGAAAGCCTCTGCTTGTAACTAGAAGCATAAAAGGGTTATATAATTCTCTGAAAGGAGATTACTGTGAAATCACAAATTTTTGTGGGGGGTTTAATTTTTGTGGTTTTCGGGGTATGAATAGACCCAAGAATTTATGTCCACCACGAAATTTTATTTCTCACAGATAATCCTACTCAACAATTCTTCATACACGAAATTAAATCTCCATGAACCCATATATATGTTCCTCAAACCACGAAATTTGATCACATGAAAACATGTGATTTTACAGTAAACATGGTAAAAGCAATTTTATTTTCCCAATCTTTGTAACTCTCACATGTATGAACACTGACATCATGGACATACAAAGAGTTGTCTTTGCATAATTTTACATGAACAATGTCCATCAATTGATCTCTTGAGTCCAAATTGATAATTACTGTACATTCCTAATTATACGCGGGGAATTAATTTCCGTGTAATTTTGCGAGAAGCATAACTCGCGAAATAATATTACTCGCTTTTATTTTTAAGGTGCTGAAATCCATTTACTCGCGAAAATCTAGTATAATAATTAAACATATTGACTAAAGGAGAATTTCATAAACATGTCTGCTTTAAACAATACATATAAATACCAACTCTTCTGAGTTCTTTGTCTGGGACGACTTTGAACACAGGTTTATTTGGTTCCAGAGCAGGTTGTAGTTCTGCAGTTTTCCTCAGACTGATTCCCGTGATGGTGTTCAGGATAGACTGCACTTCCTCCTCCATAAAAAGTGGAAAAGGATCAACATGTTGAGGTAACTGGGGTGGCTTGAATGGGGGACTTGTAGCATCTTGACTGGCACCTGAAAAGGTCAAGCTTCTGAATTAAACAACGTTCCACAAAAGAAAGATTTTACATGTCTAGAAATTAACCAACTAAGTAACAGTGATTCCCTTGGTATTTGCTAAATTTTGGGCATTTCCACATAAGGCCAAAATAAAATTATAGTTTGTTTGGAATTGCCTCCCACCTCATTGAAATGCCCCCCTCCTGGAAAAATTTTATTGACCAAAATTAGGAAGATTTTTTTTTAATTTAATCAATTTTTTTGCCCATTACATGTATCACACGCACCATACAAAACACTGAAATGTAGTGTCAGATCTATGTAAAATTAGGTATTTTTGTTCTGAGATTTTTATCAAAAATTTATAATTTATCTTCAATAAAAAAAAAATAATAATTTCCCTCCCTCCCTCCTGTGTTTGAAACCCTCCAGGCGGCAATTCCAAACAAACAATTTTTTAAGGATGGCCTAAACCAAAAAATAAAATGATATGAATAAGGAGTCAAGAAAGGGCTTCACTATTGCACCATCAAACATTGATATTATAAATGACGATGAAATGATAGTCTAGTAATTACAAGAGGGTGCGATAGGGCCAGGGTGTAACAACGTGATGACCATGGTAAAAGAACAAGATGATTACGTTACTGTCATCAAACCATCATTATCACACCATTGTCACAATGATGTGGTCACTGATGATTATAGCTGCAGATCTGTAGCGTTATGGTTTTATATATTTGTCTTTGACCATAACGCTACAGATCCCGTAATGCAAAAAATGTGCAATTTACGGCACAAGATTCTTTGCGCACTTTTAGGGAGAATTTCTCCACTTTCCAGCATCG